TGGACTTGACCATAGGAATTAACATCCTTTCCTCATCCATCTTGGCAGCACCATTCAGGATCTTATAAACTTTAATCAAATCACTCCTCAATCTCCTGAAAGCTAGTTGGTTTTCACTAGCTTGCCCAATTTTCGCTCATAAGACAACTTGCTCACTCCAGACATCAGGTAATAAATAAGCCTCCTCTGAACTGCCTCCAATCCATTTGCATCCTTCCTTAAATAAGGAGACCAAAACTGCAGAGTTTTCAAGATGTTGTCTCACCAATGCCCTGTGTAACTGAAGCCTTACAGCCTGCTTTTAAGGTTAATTCTCTCAAAATGAATGATGACATTTCATTAGCCTTCTTAATGACATGCTGTATTTCCAGGCAGTACATATCCACACTTTAACTACAATTTTTTTCTCTCACCTTGTATTTGCTTCTTTTGCAAAGCACTTTAAATTGTGCCCTCCTGCCTCTTTGTAGGGTATGTGGAACAGTCCCTCTTCCTCTGTTACACCTTTTCCTCCGCTACATTGATGACTGTATAAGCACTGCCTCGTGCTCCCATGAGGAGCTTGAACTTTAGGTATCAACTTTACCAACACCTTTCACCCCAACCTCAAATTTACCTGGACCATCTCCGATACCTCCCTCCCTCTCCTAGACCTCTCTGTCTCCATCTCTGGTAAATGTCTCAGCACTGACGTCTATTTCAACCCCACCAACTCCCACAGCTACCTTGACTACGCCTTGTCTCACCCACCCTGCTGCAAGAATGTGATCCCTGAATCCCAATTCCTCCACCTCCACTGCATCTGCTCCCAAGATGGAGCCTGCCACTGCTGGACATCCCAGATGTTCTCCTACTTCAAGGACCACAACTTTCCCCCCTCCATTGATTGGAAATGCCCCCAACCGCATCACTTGCATTTCCCGCACTTCTGCCCTCAAACTCCCTCCCTACAACAAAAATAAAGACAGAGTGCCCCTGGTCCATCCCACCAACCTTTACATCCAGCGCATCATCCTCCACCATTTCCATCACCTACAATCCGACCCCACCACCAAAGAGATATTTCCCTCCCCACTCCACCTGCTTTTCGTCGGGACCGCTCACTCAGTGACTCCCTCGTCCGCTCCACACTCCCCTCTAACCCCACCACACTGAGCACCTTTGCCTGCAACTGCAGGAGGTGCTACACCTGCACCTACGCCTCCCCCCTCACCTCCATTCAAGGTCCCCTAGACAAACTTTCCATATCCAACGGGGTTCACCTACAAATCCTCCAACCTGGTCTACTGTAAATGTACTGTGGCCTTCTCTATGTCGGTGAGACCAAGCACAGACTCGATGACCGACTCGCGGAGCATCTGTGCTCTGTACGCTATAATCAACAACACCTTCTAGTTGCTAGCTATTTTAACTCCACCTCTCACTCCCTGGGTGACATGTCCATCCTGGGCCTCCTCCAATGCCACAATGATGCCACACACAAACTGGAGGAACAACACCTCATATTCCACCTTGGGAGCCTACAGCCTGATGGCATAAACAAAGAATTCACCAGTTTCAAAATCTCCCCACCCCTGCCCTCATCCCATGTCCAACCCTCCCTCTCATCCTTGCCTCCTTGACCTGACCCTACCTGTCTATCTCCTTCCCCACCTATCTGCCCCACTGACCAATCCTCACTACACCTACCTGCATCCAGCTATTGCCATCCCACCTACCTTCTCCCAGCCCCACCCCTCTTCCATCTATTTATTTCCCAGCTCCCTTCCCACTCCTCAGTCCTAATGAAGGGTCCAGGCCTGAAACATTGACTCTCCTAGTTCTCTGATGCTGCCTGACCTGCTGTGTTCCTCCAGCTCCACGCTGTATTGATTCTGACTCCAGCATTGGCAGTTCTTGTTATCTCCGACCCTCTAGTTCTCAATTAGTTTATGAGTGGGAACAGTTTCTCCATATGTTCAGACCCTTGATTATTTTAAAAACTTTATCAGATCTCCTCTTAGCCTTTTCTTCTCCAAAGAAAACTAGTTTCTCCAATCTACCCTCATAACTAAATTTTCTCATCACTGCAACCATTTTCATCGACCTGTTTGGCATTGTCTCCAATGCGTTCTCATCTTTCCTAAATTGTGGTTACCAGAACTGCTTACAATTCTCCAGCTTGAGTTTTAACTAGTGTCCTATGTAGGTTCACCATAACTTCCCTGCTCTTCTGCTTTATGCCCCTATTAACGAAGCCCTAATTACTGTATGTTTTATTAACTCAGAGATAGCAGGAACTGCTGATGCTGGAGAATCAGAGATAACAAGATGTAGAGCTGGATGAACACAGCAAGCCAGGTAGCATCAGAGGAGCAGGAAAGCTGACGTTTTGGGTCTGGACACTTCTCTTCTCCAGGATATCTTTTAGAAAAACACCTTTTATTTGTATTGTCTCTATATGTTCTGTGTAGAAAAATGCATCACCTCACACATCTTTGCACTGAACTTCACCTGCCACCTATCCATTCATTCCAAATACTTTTCATTGTTCTTTTAAAGTTCTAAACTGTCCTCTTCATAGTTTACAATGCTACCAAGTTCTGTATTCTCTGCAAATTTTGAAACCATTCCTTCACACCAAGATGCAGATCATTTTAATATGAAAGGCAAGGGTCCCAGAACCGACACTTGGGGAACTCCACTATTATCCATCTTCCAGCCCAAAAATACCCATCGACTATTACTCTCGGTTTCCTATCCCTCAGTCAATTTTGTATCCATGTTGCCACTGTCCCTTTTATTCCATGAGCTATAACTTTCGCACTAGTCTATTGTGTCACAATGTATCAAATGCTTTTTGGAAGTCCATGTACACCACATCAACAGTTTGCCCTCTTTGTTACCTCTTCAAAAAAACTCAGCAAATTCGTTTGACACAATTTTCCCTTAACAAATCTATTCAGGCTCTTCAATCAAATCATATTTGTCCCTGTGACTTTTAATCCTATCTTAAGTAATTGTTTTGAGAATTTTGCCCACCACTGAAGTTAAACTGACTAGTCTGTAAACGCTAAGCTTATCTTTACAACCTTTTTTGAACAAGGACATAGTGTTTGCACTTCTCAGATCCTCCGGCACAAGATCTGAGACCAGAGAGGATGGAAGTTTATGATCATTGCTCACTTCCTTCATCGTCCTTGGATGCATCCCATCCCGTGCTGGTGATTTGTCAACCCTTAAGTCTTGACTTATATTTGCTTCTTTTGCCAAACACTTTAAAAGTGTGCCCTCTAGTTCTCAATTAGTTTGAGTAGGAATGGTTTAAAATGTGAGTATTGATATCAGGTAGGGACTGGATCGAGTTCAAACAAGCCCCCACCCATCTACTATTTTGCCTCCTGGCACTCACTGTTGAGGCTAACAAATGACTAAGAGTCATTATCTGGCAAAGAGCCAAATGGGAATGGCAAAGAGGATCGAGAATGCTGACCAATTTTCATATCCTTAACTCAGGGGCATTAAGATCAATTGTAGCACTGCTACTGCCTTGACTAACGTTAGTGAACTCATCACAGACCCAACCATCCTGGTCGGTAAGGCTCATCTGCTCATTACCAGAGATCTGGAGGGGAGTTAGCAGGGATTCTGACAGCATATTTAAGAATGTACAAGCATGTCCCCTTATAGGAGAGGCTAGTACTAAGGGACAGAGATTAAGATTGAGAAATTCACTTTTGAAAGAGAGATGAGGAGCATTTCTTTCCCTCAAGAGTTGTTAGTCTGTGGAACTTTCTTCCCCAGAAAACTGTTGAAATCACAACCCAATCAGCCATGACCTTACTGAATGGCAAATATGGCTGAAGCATTCAATGGCCTACTCCTGCTCCTAAGTTCTGTGCTGCTTTTTTTTTTACCTAAAGCCACTGAATCACAACTTAAGTGTTACTTTTGGGGTACTGCAATACTTTAGATATCCTATTTACATGCCATGGCATATTGAACAAGTTAAACTACAGTTCAATGTCCAAACCCACTGGTGCTTGTTAATTATATGTTGAAAAGTTTTATATTCTAAAGCAGTGTTATTGTTTATGGAGATGTTGTCAAAGTTCTGGGTTGGTTTCAGGTTGGCTGATTGCCTGGAACAAAAATGCAGAGCGTTTTCAAATTACATCATCTTGGCTAGCAGTAAAAGTTTGTATTTCACAGGGTGCTTTGCCTGTACTCAATTAACTTCTGTTGTGCATTGCACATTACTAATTTATGCTTTAGTTTTCAGCCTTGAGAACGAATTTTGACAGGCTATTTAACAGCAGGAACCATCACAGCTAAACCTGAACTACTTCTCATCTACTACTGACACATGTAAATATCACAGAACAGTGATCATGATCAAAACAAAAATGTCCCTTTTTGATTATCTATTGTCAAACCCAAAATATTTCGGCTAATCATTGAAATCCAGTGGAGAACCCAGCTGAAATCAGTTACCTCAGCTCAAATCAGGAATAGAACCGAGGCATATCTAGTCCAGACAGCTGATGTACTCAATGGATGTATCCACCCAGATATCAGCGCAATTAATTTGCTCTTGCAGTTTTACACAGAAAAGGTATCCAGGAGGACTTGTGATTGATATCAGAAACTGTCCTTGAACAGTACGTAACATGAATTTTCTCACAATTGTGCATAACTTGGTAGCACTCTTTTAAGTCAAGTATCTACTAAGAGTGATCATACAGTCACAGCTTGGGCATGTGTCCAACATATAAATTCTGAATGTTTCTGTTTATAACTTCTGAATATGGATGGGACATAAGCATTTGCCAAAGCAAGGTCCATTTGTACAGGCTGGTACATCCATCAACAAAGTTCAGTGCAAAATATATCAATATTTTCAGATGTTATATTTTTAAGTGTGTTACATAGCTAATATTGAATTAACTTATTTTGTTGCTCTAAACAAAACCTACTTTACAAGAGCCCAGTGAGCTGGTGCAACATTCCCATGTACTCACCAGAATCTGTTTTTTTTGTGTATTTTTTGCTTTGTCCACGGATTATTAGCACAAACACCAAGAGAAGGATGAAGATGAGTCCAACTAAGGCAATAACCACCAAGAACCACCATTCCTCGTAAAATGGGGCTGAATTCTGGGCTGTAAGATCAAGAAATGGAATATATAATAATGTGTGATATATAATGCTTAAAACAACAATATAATATTAGGTAACCTCAACGATCTCAGAGAATAATGAAACTTCTCAATTTTCATTTTGGTTCTGCCATTATTCTGCTGCTTCTGTATTTCAGCTTTGTCGCTCATCACCCAGTAAAATTGACTCTCGAGATCTCTACATGAACACAATGGATCTGTTTAGGAAGCAAAAACAAATAAACCGCATGGGGTTCTGTCTGTCCAATCACTCATTGCTTGGGTTCATGTTTACTTCTGTAAATCCAAATTACCTTATTTGCATGATGACACATCTGCTGATGTGTTTTAACTGCGGAAGTAAGTGACAGGAGTCAGTTTAGAACTTGAATGAATCAACACAAATATTGCAGTCGTCTCAAGTAGTTCCACATCACTCACTGCTTGTGAAATGTAGCAAACTTTATCAGATCAGTCATAATTACAGTTCAGCACTTTAACCGATCAGATTTTGAATCTTTTCATTTGGACTCATCACTAATTCTTCAATCTGATTAATTGCGAAAAATGAACTCTTTGTTATTTCTGAATTACTAATCAAAATGTTCACAGAAGTGAAGAACAACAACCTTCAGATACATGTTTTGGTGGCAGATGAAAAGATATGATCACAGATTAGAATAAAATATACTCTTTATAGCTGATCAGTTATGGAACAGCTTGTAGTTACTTCACCCCAAGCATTCGTTGATGTAGTTGGGACTGAAAACTTTAGTTGGCATTGAAAGTTTAACTAACTTGCCCCATCAATGAAATTGAGTGGCTTTGGAATTCGCCTTTCATTTGACAGCCTCTTTGATTCTTCCTCTGCTCCGCCTCAGTATTCTCCTTGTTCCCTTATTGAGTGACGTGTTTCTATATTATTATTGAGGTGATTTGTTATACAGGCTTGGAAATCTCTGCCTGTGGTATATATGTAATATTGTGGTACTCAAACAGAACATTGTGCTTCACGTTGTGAATATAGTGTGTCGGTAATTGTTGTGGATGTGACAGGATCATTTGCTTTATTTTTGAATACCTTAGTACAGGATTTGTTTTGTTGGAAAACATTACAATTTCACAATAAACTGTGACACTTACCTGGTCAGTAACATTAGCATGTTTAAAATATGTACTCAAAAGCTAATATCCCAAGTTTTTAAGTGCAATATAAAATCAAGTGGGATGATTAATCATAGAATCCCTACAGTGTGGAAACAGGCCCTTTGGCCCAACAAGTCCACACCAAACCTCAGAGCATCCCACCCAGACCCATCCCCCTAATCTACACTTCCCTGAACACTATGGGCAATTTAACATGGCCAATCCACCTAACCTGCACATCTTTGGACTGTGGGAGGAAACCCATGCAGACATGGGGAGAATACACAAACTCCACACAGACAGTCGCCTGAGGCTGGAATCGAACCCTGTCCCTGGTGCTGTGAGGCAGCAGTACTAACCGCTGTGCCGCTGTGCCACCGTGCTGCCCACAGTACACAAAACACAGTAAAACTGATATCAAAGGGTCAGTTTCAAATTGGACAATTTAATCTGTGGCCCGCATTCTATGACTACACAGAAAATTACACTAACATATGCTATTAGCATGCTTTCAATCTGAATTTAAATTTAATTAAATTAAGAGATTCTTAAATAACTCAATTGGTAAACAGGTTTGTACAGAATTACATAAATTGGAAATTCCCACATCCTGTTCCTGTTTTGTGTATAGTTAGCTCTTCTCAGCCAGGATAGGTGATCAGGTTAGACTACCTCTCACTGGTCAGTGGGGCAGGGAGGGGTAAAACCTATGGGATGTTTTTAATGCTGACTATTGTTGAATGTTATGTAGGTGTGCATTCAAGGTAAGGCAAATAAATGTAGGATAAAGCGTAGTTGCAATCCTGAATACCATAATAAGGCTTATGTATTAAGTATGATTGATTGGGTGAGATCTGATATCAAAGTGATGCTTCTGTGTCATTTTGGGTTTTCTCGAATTTCCTCCATGTGCGGATACATTTTTATATCCCTTGGCTGAACCAATCATGTAATAAATGTTGGTCAGTATGAGTAAATAAAGAAAGAGAGCACAGGATCCAATTAAAACATCTGATGCCACTGAACAATGGACTGCGATTTTCCCCTCTGTAGAAGTGGCGTGGTGGGCAACTTAATGGGCAGGTTGGCGCCAGGGAGATACTCAACGTTTAAGCAACAAGTTCTGGGTGAGAAGGTTCAAAGTCAGCATGTCCAATCCATCACCAGTTAAAGCTCTTGAGGTCAATTAATGTCTGTTAAGACCCTCAGGCCACTATTGGTTCAAATAACTGTGCTCCTGGCAGGCAGAAAAAGTGACAACCTTCCTGAGTGATACAATTGGGTGACACGGCTGTCAGATTAGGGAGGGAGAAACCTCAATTTGTACCAATCCAAGGGTATTTGGCACCAACGTTGGGAGCAGGGGATTGGCCGCTGAAAAATATTCCTCTGCCTTTGACTCTAACCCACTCTTCTCATGGCTCCAACCTTTGATTCTACATACCAAACAAAAATCACGTGACATCCCATTGCACCTCAACAATGCTGTGCATCCGCACATTAGTTCAAAAAAGGAAAATTCCAACCTGAGAAGGTGTGTATAAGATAGTGAACATCTAACAATCTATGGCAATTACATGGAATGATGAGTTACATGGATGTGAAAGATAACTCAACTGAGTTAATTTTAAAGCTTACAAAACAGAAATAGCAATTCCTAAAAACATGATCAGATCAAAAGAGGTAGAAACTAAACTAACATGCCTGTCAGCTGAAGAGAAAGGGTTCAAGCATGTGACCAAAGCAAAAGACAAGAAAAGGGTGTTGTAGTGATTGGAATGAGTCAGCCAGGCGGATGTCATAGAATATGAGTTCCTTGATTGGGGCTGTTAATCTGGTCCAATCAGGAACTCCTGGCTGACAGATATAAACAAGAGTGTCAGGTCCCGCCCCCTTGACCTGTCCGTCCTCCCTGGACTGACCTATCTCCTCCCTACCTCCCCACCTACACTCACCTTTACTGGCTCCATCCCCACCTCTTTGACCTATCTGTTTCCTCTCCACCTATCTTTTCCTCTATCCATCTTCTATCCGCCTCCCCCTCTCTCCCTATTTATTTCAGAACCCCCTTCCCCTCCCCCATTTCTGATGAAGGGTCTAGGCCCGAAACATCAGCCGTCCTGCTCCTATGATGCTGCTTGGTCTGCTGTGTTCATCCAGCTCTACACCTTGTTATCTCAGATTTTCCAGCATCTGCAGTTCCTACTATCTCTGTCAGGGATTCTGTTCACTCTTGGAGCTGGCTCTGAGTTAGCTGAGTCAGTGTCATGTACCATGCATGTGTAAATAAGGGGTGACTTGGTGATGGGATACTGGCATTTGTGGAGTCATTTCAGGTGATCTAATTAGAAATGTTAAATCATACGTCGAGGAGGAAAAACAGCAATGCCAATGGGAAGAATGTGAAGAGAGCAATGTAAACAGGAAGTAATGTGAGAAATAACATCTCAGGTACAAGATGAATGAAAACAAAATAAAAATGTGACTTCAAGCCAAGAGTGAGATAAAGCTTGTTTACACTCATCAAACAGCAGAGAAGTAGAAAAACATGGTATGAATCCTCTTGGTAAGACTATGAAACTTTGGATTCATCGTTTTGTTGAAACAAATTTTATTCCAACTGTTAAGACACTGTATTACTCATTTAACCCAGTCATCTGACTAGGTGGAAGAATGCCAGTGGCTGGATTTTACCAGCTCCCAGGAATGGGAATTGGGGAAGCCACTGTCTTCCAGCTACTATGTCATCCTACCAGAAAGAGGGAAGGTGGTAGACCATCCTCCTGCCCTGAGTCCTAGTAAGCCATTTAAATGTCTAATTCAGGGCCTTTTTCCATTTTTACTGACATTTTACCAGCAGTGGGCAGGAGAGTGTTCTCCGCCAGTAAACACGGTACAATTTCCAGTGAGCTCCAGAGGAGAGGGACCTCCTTTTCAGTCACTTATTGGCCCACAGTCAGGTCCTCCAGATGTAATAATCGCCAACTGTGGCAACAATGCTGCCAGCTCTCACAAACCCAACCTCCCTTACCGGGCCTGCAGGACTGGCCATGACACCCAACCCCCAATTACCTGGTTCTTAGGATGTATAACTGTTACTGCACCCCCTTCCTTCAGGTGCAGCCCCAGCAGTAACCCTTTGATTGGCTGAGATCTTTGGGTGGTAGGTGGCCATCTTTAATGAGCTCAAGTAAATGGCTACTGCTGACATGATGCAAAATGGTGGGTGCCCTATTACCAGCTCTATTCAGCCTGACAAGTTGGACTGAAACAAATGAGCTAATCAACTTAATCTATCACTAAATAGAAAAGTACTTTTTATGTGTTTCAGGGTTAGTTGGGCAATAGAATGCTTGCTTAACCTCTCCCCTTGCCTGAGGTGTGGTGACCATCAGGATAAACCACCTTCAGTCACCTCTCTCTGTTGAGAGATCAGGCTATGGTCCTCAGGTAGTATGGCAACTTTACCTTTTGGAAAGTACCAGATTAAAATGTGTGAAAAGGACAGGCAAAAATCTAAGAAACTGAGAACACTGACAATAATTTTACAGAAAAGGTTACACAGATTTAAGATATTTGACCAACAAGATCATAAGCAAATGTGTAATAGGTTGCATGGTTCTTTGCTATTTAATTCTAAGAAATAGGTTTCTGGAAATAATACAAACAATTTAAGAATCTGGTTACTTGGTTACAGTTGTAAGTCTTTCAAGCAGCTAGGGACATGTGCTGAAAATTTTTTGGTCTTGTGAGCAAAGGCCAACAGTTGCACAAAAGAAAGACTTAATTTTTCATGCCATCCTATAGACAAATTACTTGGCAAATTATATTCAATGTACCCTTGATTTGAACAAAGGGGAACAGCCAAGTCGAAGTCAAAGATGTGAAGACCATGAAATCAGATGCTTCAAATATTCAAAGCAGGCCACAAGGCAAGCAGAGCAGACAGAACCAGAACTAGTTACAGGCAGAGAAATAAAACAGTAATCCCAAAGCTGGTATTGCAGCATTCAGCATAACTGAGCACAGGCCAAGCATGATTCAGAGGGACATATCTGCTTCAGTTTCTGGCAGATGGAGATCGCTTCTGCGAGAACCTGATGTCAGTACCCAGACACCAGCCAGGGATGAAGTGAGGCGCGAGGATGATCTGGCTATAAGAACCATTTCAACAAACGTGGGCCTTCTCAATGATGTAACGATAGCCTTCTATACCGTGTATGAAACTACTTAATACAAAGGGTAAGAGAGTCAAGCACAGGGGTTGCCTGTTTCAAAGCATGTCATGCACTCTGTGGATTGGTTGTAGATTCTTCAGGGGTGAGTTGTCAGACTGAAAATAAGGCCTTGCCCCAGTGCAAGGGCGGGGAGAGAGAGAGAAAGAGAGACAGATACATTACATTTTGCGATTTCATCAATGGCCTGTTGAAATATATCTTGTTACATCAGAGTTTAAATTGTGTCAGTAGATATTAGCTGTAATGAACTGACAATCTATAGTGTTAAATTTCTTTCTCACTCCATGCTAAGAACTTCCATTATTTCCTATTTGTGTTGCAGATTTGTAACATTTGTGTAGATAGTGGCAGGCTAAGCTAAATCTAAAATATAAATGGACACGGGATCTACATATTTCTGGTGTTGCCTCACACGATATCTATTCAAATGATTGCATGGGAGTAACTGATGTCACTGAATATGACAAAGCATCGACAGAAACTCCAAATTCTTAGCAGTTAATTTGAGCAAAATCTGAGTCATAATTTCAAGGAACTTGCATGAGAGAACCAAAAGAAAAATGAGATAATTTAAAGATAATTCTATTAACAACATGAGCGCACTGTGGCTTTCACCACAACTTATATTGAATTTATCTTCAAATCAGCAGAACCAATAGAAACCCCACCCAGGAAGTGACTAATATTTCATGGCTCAAATCCAAATTAGCATCTATACAACAAATATCAGTGCAAGCTAAGAGGGAAATTCCATACCCGATACAGATGGAGAAGGCGAGCTGGGTGTTCCATATCCATAATCATTCACCGCAATCACTCGGAAATCATAGCTCACACCCTGTTTCAAGATATCCATGCCAAATGTATATGAGGTTACTTCCTTTGGAACATCCTTGATTAGAATGTCCCACAATCCTTCATCTGGAAAACACGAGTAGCATTGTTATAAATATTTCCAAATTACTGTGATTCAAGATGGTAACGCCAACCAGGCATATAAAATTCTACCATTTTCCCAGCCCCCAAACCACATTTTTACATATACGTATATGTCAATCAACCACCTTTTCAATACTTGGATTACTAGACAGCTCCAATTTTTCTCCCCACAAATGCACGTTTTACTTACTGGTGTCATATAACTAAGTGTAAAGAATGAAGTCAGTGAGACCAGGCTGTATTGTGAAGGTGCACAGAAGTTTAAGATGTGCTCACTCTTTGCATTGGACGTAGATAATGTTTCAAAATGGCAATCACCCCACCTCCTTTTCACTTTTCCACTTGGTGAATAAGTGTATTTTTTCCCCAGTTCTTTGAAAGGATTTTTACAGGTTTCAAAGATTGACCTTTATGCCATCATCTACATTACCTATTTAATTATTCTTCCAGGACCTATTTAGGAATAGGAGTAATTAAATCTTAAGCTAATCAGAAAAAGAGCCCAGAATTACTGATGGATGTCAATGCTAGTGAAATGTTACCAAAAGCAGATTCATGAGCCAGGAATGGAAAGAAAGCTGGTATCCAATTTTTTTTGTTAGGGTAGAAATTATAGTTCATCATGAACATGTGGATTATGTGAGTAACGCTGAGCAGTGGAATACTAATTCCCAGATCTCACGGACCTTATCAATCATTCCTCCTCATCTACCTCACTGTTTCTGGCACATCAACTAAGTTAAAATCTTATTATCATACAGGTGCTTAACTTGCTTGTACCAAATTCTTCTTTTAGCTCAGAAAGAAATTTTGTATGAAAGGTTAAACAGTCATACAAAACAACACCAACATATTTTTTTGTTTCACTAGTCAACACTACTCGTTATAAAATGAAAACAAAGAATTATCACCTCACAGATCATTCGACACACTTATAGAACATTTTAAAACACTGCATAGTAGTTGATTGATATAGTAATAATGAGAACAAATCAGCGTAATTGAACATTGATAACTGCGACAGTAAAACATTTATAAAGTACGGTTCCACAGAAACAAATGGCCTAACTTTAGTAAAAAGAACAGGAAAGAAATTAGTATCATTGAGCTGAATTTTTTGTTTTGTTGGTTAAGTATGAGTTGCATTGAATTTGTTGGAGGAATTGTTGCTAGGATTTCTCGTAGAATCTTAACCATGTACTTCACTAACCTACCCTATCCTCATGTTCTAATTCTATCACCATCTTACCATGTATCATTCCCAGAAAAACTCACCCAGTCACCAAATATCTGCCAATATACTTGCATCCCATGTGCCTATGCCATCTGTGAGAGACTGATGTGCACCTGGACAAGCATGAGCAGTCTGGTGTTGTCCCTCACCAGCAGTGTAATGGCACAGCAGCCACAAGGGTATGCTGCCCAAGTCACTTAGCTGGTATGGATGGCACTCTCTCTCACTGCAACCCCATTTTCTCACTCTTATTACCATTTGGCCAACAGGCCACACATTTTATTTGTCCTTGGAAAAATCCAGTCTCAGGGCCTTCTGGGAGTGCCTGCTACTCTTTTGCCAGAGCCCAGTGGCACCTGTACCTTGTCACTTATTGGGTCCTCCTTTCCCAGCACCTCAATCTCTATGACACCACCTTGTTGCCAGCTTCAATTGTGCAAAACACAATATACCAATGTAATCCACCACTCTCAATCCAGATTGTATTGAATGTCTCCTCCAAGTCCCTCTTCCCCCCATCACCCCCACCCTGACTGCTCCTACGCTGCAGAACCGGACCTTCAGTAGCCATATCACCTGCCCCACCATGGCCCTGATTGGACCAAATTGGTGAAGGTGTCACACTACATTACATCCAAAAGGGAATGTCTGCTATGCTTTGAAATCTTCCCATCCAAGACCAACCTCAACTGTTTTATTTTCCATTGAATTCATTAGACTCCATTGTCATAATTACTGCATTTGATGCAGTAATATTCCTCTTGTCCCACATCGCACTTGAAAGTTCCACAAAAGATTCCAATCTGATTAGAAACTTAGATCTAGGCCTTGTTGTACTACTATTATTTTGGTAGCTGAGGAAGTCACATTTTTGCCATTAACTGCAGTCATAAGTAATTAAATGCCATTTAAGAACAGTAAGAGTGGGAAACTTGTTTAACGCATTGCATCTTCGTACGTAGACAAACGAACTAAACAGAAACCCATTGTAACACAATAGATATTTTTTAAAACTGCCGTCTTGTCCAGTGGTGTGAAAAAAGCATGATTTACCAGTTCTTTTCAAGGGCAATGAGGCCAAGATTACTAGTCTAGGCTGAGATCAACACAGAAAAATGATTGAACATTGGAACACTGGGCAGTGTCATTTACCACAATGCTATGGCAGCTTTACAGATTTTCATTTTCATTTCTGACTGTAACTGACTGTGAAACCACAGTGATGGCCTAATTATCTCAGGATATGAATGCATTACAACCCAGAATGACAAAGCGGTAATTTTAAGGCAATCCATTTGGCTAAAAATTGACCAGGTTAGATTAGTGTTAGTGGATTCTCCTGTTGCTTCAACAGTTAAAAGTTCACCAAAAAAAAGAGACTTATTTACAGTCTGAATTGACGTCATCGCATGTAATGTTAGGCTGGGCCTTGATTTACATCATTATTTATGAATGTTGCACATGATGTCAGTTTTGGAGGAATGGCTGGAGACAGTATCCTTGTATTGTACACATTTATCCTGAAGGCACTTCTCTTATGCTCCTTAAAAATTGATATCACTTGATGACAGAGACTTCTTTATTTTGGTTTATACACGTTTATCCCCATGTATTGGGATCCAGCTTGCAAACTCTGACCTGGGCTAATTATACAACCATTTAAAGTCAACAGAATGTAAAGTCAAGCAGACCATAAAACAGATGCTCCATCCATCAGTTTACCATGAGGCAGGTTTGTTTAAAATTATTCCAGGGTGAAGAACTCTTTGTGCAATTGTTGTTAAGATGTAATGCATCATGGTCCAAATCCTACAAGTTTGAAGTCTACAACAAAATACCTTCCTATATTTGTCACTAATTTGTAATGGAAAGCAACATTTCATTTTGATAGCTTGAATCATCTATTCTTCCCCTGCAAAAGGAAAGCCTTTGACTCTGTGATCAGAGTACCTGAGGCATCAACATTGCACAGAATGTTTTTTGCTTGCCCCAACAGTTCAATCAAGTTAAAAATCTTCTGTAAATGTCAGAATTAATTTTGTTCTGAGTGGTTCAAAAAATTTGAACTCTGTTTTATAAAACCTATCAAAAAAATGCCCATTTCTTCTTCTGATATTGCTAAGGGTGAGTCTGCTTCTTTGCTCAATCGTGTGTCCCATGAAATCTGACCTCCCTGTATCCTCTCAAAATATAAAAAAAAATCAGATATTTACAGAACACTGTACATATCACAAAAGTCCTTTTACTCTACTCTGAGATAACAGATGCTCATTTTTACCACTGTCTACTTGGCTGCCTCTTGGTGCTGCTCAAAGACATTCTGCTGCTGTGCTTCGCTGTTACCAAAGGACCAGGGATGACTGTGGTGCTTGGTTTCACTCTGGTGTCATGGCATCCTTGGAACAGATGTAGTCTTTACCTCAGGGCTCAAGCCCAGGAGAAATCTCAGGGTGACAAATAAAGGTGTGACCCAATCACAAATAAATTGCAACACCTGGCTAGGGGGTGTTGATAGGATTACAGTTCTAAGCTTCTCCCCATAATGCAAAAACAACTCTGGGGGACAAGAAAATAGCCCTTACTACCATAGCCACCTTCTTGAACAGAGTGTGCACCATACCTTTTGCAATTCCTTGGCCCATTTCAAGTTGCCAGCTTCCAATGTCACTGTTTCATTTTCAGTTTTATATCTTGAAGGTGAATCAGGTCTCTGATCCTTAACCATCACTTTGCTGCTCCTTCTATTCCCGTCATTTCCAAAAGCCATTCTAGCTTTAACTTCTGTCTTCACCCCAAAACTACAAGGCTTCTTGGGCAGCACAGTGGCTCAGTGATTAGCACTGCACCCTCACAGCACCAAGGACCCGAGTTTGATTCCACCCTCGGGTGACTATGTGGAGCTTGCACATTCTTGCTGTTTCTGTACGGGCTTCCCACGGGTGCTCTGGATTCCTCCCACAGTCGAGAAATATGCAGGTTAGGTGGATTGGCCATGCTAATTTGTCCATAGTGTCGGGGATGTGTTGGTTAGGTGGATTAGACATGGAAATTGCAGGGTTACAGGGATAGGGACTGAAAGAACTGTGGACGCTATAAATCAGAAACAAAAACCGAAATTGCTGGAAATGCTCAGCAAGTCTGGCAGCACCTCTGGAGAGAAATCGGAGTCAACGTTTTGGGTTGGGTTTCTGAGGAAGGATCACTTGACTTGAAACATTAACTGATTTCTCTCCACAGATGCTGCCAGACCTGCTGAGCTTTTCCAGCAATTCTGGTTTTTGTTACAGGGATAGGGTACAGGTGTGGGTTAGTATAGACTCGATGGGATTCTATGATTCTTATGTGTTAACTAGATCACTCTGTGAGTTCAGGCAGGCTGTAAGGGCTTGAGAAGCTGAATGACCTATTCCTATTTGGAAACATAGAAAATAGGAGCAGGAGTGGGTCATTCGGCCCTCTGAGCATGGCTAATCCTCAACTCAGTACTTTGTTCCTGCTTTTGTCCCAACCCTGTGATTCCTTTAGCCCTAAAATTTATGTCTAATTTTCTGAGGTCCTATTCTATTTTACTTCCAATGGTACTTCTAGAATTTTGGGCTCATTTTCTTATTTGATCCCCTGATAATTGCCGTAATGAAAGAAGAATTTTAGCCTTTGCTAAAAGGCATTTAAATTTAGGGTCACACTTGCGCAATCACAAAACAATTACTTCAGGCTATTGTTAAATATAACTCAACACAAGATTAAA